CTTTCCAAATCTAATCCCTCCAGCCACCACTACCAAGAGGTGACCTCTCCCTGTGTTTTCTACTTTGCTTGGCTCTGTGGCATGACCACTACTTTCCCTCACCATGTGACCTGTCTTCATAGACCTTTGATCTTTCTTCCGGCTGAAGGCTACCACTGTTTCAACCTCAGCATGATCCTCTTCAGCCTTTGCCATTTCCTTTCATGACCATACATGCTTCATTAGTATTTCTGGCAGGCCAATATTTAACATGTTAACACATACCTGTTGTAGAGCTAGGCTGGGTCTGGAGCTCACAGACCCCTCAAGCCCCTTGTCCAGACTGGATCACAAACCCTTCACACACAGGTCTACGAGCTAAGTAACTGGGAAAAAAGGTCCTTGGAACCTTGGTTGAAGAAAGCATAGTCTTTATTCAGCACACATACATCTGACAGCTAGGCAGTCCAAAGAGAAACTCAAAAACTCAACTGCTAGGGCAAAGTCCAAAGAAAAACTGAGCAGCTGCCAGCAAAGTAAACACAATCTATTTTTAGACATGAGCTCTCTGTTGGTCAGCCACTGCTTCACAAACTCTGAAAAACACACAAGAATAGCAACAAACTAAAAAGATACATTGTCATGCATGTGCATTAACTCCACCCACACACAAGTTGTTTACAAAGAATGTGCTGCACCACCCCCAACAGGACATGAGGCAAGGGAGCCTGACTAAACTACTCTATTTTCCCCACACCTGTGTATTCAAAACAGCTTTTAGACCTTGGCTTACACCCCTTATTCTATTTCACTGGAAGAATTTGCATTGAATTCTGCAATTCCAGCAGTGCCAAGCAGCGTTTGATAAGCTGTCTTCTGAACAGCCGTAAGGAGGACGTGATACCACTTGCACAGATGTGGGACTGATTCTCAGCACGAACTTCCACTCCCCAAAGATGCCCAGTAAATATACTATGTCTATGGGGGAGGAGGGCACCTTACAAGAGAGAGCAAGGGGCAAAGCTCTCTTGCAACTGGTGATCACTCAAGCCACACGAGGCAGAGAGTGGTGGGATAGGGATTAGAACCTGGGCCTCTGGCTCATGCCCACCCTGTGCAGCATTCTGAGGGCCTCCTCTGAGAATGAAGATCATCCTGGGTGACCAAAGAGTCACTGCACTCACACATAGCTGCCCCTCTCACCTGTTCCTTGGGGAGGCCTTTCTCTTTTTGAACATTTTCCTGCATACTTGGGGACAGAAGACAAACTGCAGACCAAATTATCGGGTTAATCACACTTTTAAAAACATCACAAACGATGGGTCGGCCCCGTGGCTCACTCGGGAGAGTGCGGTGCTGGGAGTGCCGAGGCCGTGGGTTCGGATCCTATATAGGGATGGCCGGTGCGCTCACTGGCTGAGCATGGTGCAGACCACACTGTGCCGAGGGTTGCGATCCCCTTACCGGTCAAAAAAAAAACAAAGAAAAAACCATCACAGACGGTGAGAACAGTGGCAGGGAAGCTGAATGAGGAACTTTAAATGGTGGCTGAGTCTGGCATTCTCTGCTCTTCCTCGGAACTTCAGGTGAAGTTTCTGCATCTTCTCATCCGCTCCTTTCTGGGCAGATGGGAGAGAAGGAGCTGCCTTCATCCTGTTACCCTTCTCTAAGCCTCCCTTTCTCTCTTCTCACTTACAAATGTCCTGCTCCACAGACACATGGTGACACCCACCGGAGATGAGTGTCTGCCTCAGTGGTCCCTGCTCTGCCATGAGGACCACTGCTGTTCCTCCCCCCTCCCACTCCCTGCCCTCAGTCAACCCCCCACAGCCAAACTGCAAATACCAGCTGCCATCTGACCAGGAAAGGGCAGAGAACTGCAGAGGAAGTGACCTTTGCATCACACAGCATGTGCGTCTACAAGCTGTGGTTGCCTTGTGGGCTCGTGTTCCACTTCTATGCAACTGTGTGCCACGGGATTCCACCTACTGCCATGACAGGTCTTCATCATGCTAAGTGTAAAACTGTAGCATTTATCCCTGTTAAATTTCCTCTTGCTGCTTTAATAAATCCCCATCTCTGGTATAGGAGTCTGGACAGTGATCAGTATAGGTGAGGGGATAGTGACCTGAGGGGGACCTGGGGAGGCTTTGAGGGTGCTGCAATGTTTGGTTTCTCAGTCTAAATGCAGGTTACATATGGGTGTGTTCAGTTTGTAAAAGCATATAATGCTGTACACTCATAATATGTGCAGCTTCCTGTGTGGACATAGACTTCGATAAAAAGAAAAAAAAAAGTATGTACATTGTCAGTCTGTTTGGGCTGCTGTAACAAAATACTATAGATTGGGTGACTTATAAACAGCACAAATTTATTTCTCACAGTTCTGGAGGCTGGAAAGTCCAAGATCAAAGTGCTAGCAGATTCGATGTCTGGTTCCTGGTTCCTGGAACCTGCTTCCTGGTTCGCAGACTGCCTTCTTTTCACTGTGTCCTCACGTGGCAGAAGAGGAGAGGAGCTCTTTGGGGCCTCTTTTACCAGGGCACTAATATCAATCATGAGGGCTCCAACCTCCTGACCTAACCACCTCCCAAAGGTCTACCTCCTGATACCATCCCCTTGGGGGTTAGGATTTCAACATAAGAATTTTGGGGGACACACAAACATTCAGACCATAGCAACTGTTTAGACAGCTACAAAACTATCTAATAAGTATTATTTTCCAAATTGCACTTCAATTATTTCTCTACCATTAGGTCAGGAGCTCCTTTAGCAATGGAACCTGGCTTATTCATCGCTTCCTTGGAGTATAATAATACACATAATTTTCTATTGTTCATACATTCAAGAGAAATGCATCATAGACCCCTGCATCATGGAACACCAGCCCTGCGGTATCCGCCTCATTCTCTCTGTTTTCTCAAAGATGATCTACATACAATTATACTCATCATATAATTGTCGATGACAGAAGGTATAATCCACTTGGCCCTGATCTTTCATCTCATTTGAAGAAATTAACGTTCTCTCACGAATTCCTTGTCTATGTGTTCATCTTCATAGGCAAGGAAACCAGTGCAAGGCAGGATAGGAGCAGCTTTGCATTCTCTGCATCTGGAAAACAGCTTTCTTGCCTTGTTTTCAGTTTCCAGAGCCCCTCCCTTCTTTCGCAGCATTTTCAGTCTTCCACACTCCTCTGTGCCTTCAATAACAGCCTTTTGTTCACTGACAAGAGGAATCTGCAGCTTCATCAGCTCCAAACCAACCTCCCACCACCCTCTGGGCAAAGCCCTACTCAGAAAGGGATAGAAAGAAGAGAAGTGGAGGGGGCTGGAGATGGTTGTGCCAGGGGGTCGGGGGGAGGCAGGGTGGAAAGTACGCAGAGTTCGGAATAAGGCAATGGCTCTCCAGGGCTACACTGCCTGCCTACTTGGGCGACCTTGGGGCTATGTGGGCCCATGACCTCACAGTGTGAATGAAGGAGCTGGACTAGAGGGTTCTGAATCCTTTCTAGCTCTAAATACTCCGAACCCTAATCATAACCCTAAGCATCTATATATTGAACAAAATTGTACTGACACTCATCTCCAAGTAATGAAATATTAGGAAAGTTTTTTCTCCTGTTCTGAATTTTGTAAATAGTCTGTACTAAGATTGCACTACTGATATGTTTGTGTTTTATGTGTACTCATAAGCACGAAAAGTCTGTGATTCTAAAAAGAAAATTTAAAAGGTTTTTTTTAATTAAAAAGAAGAGGAAATAGGGCTGGCCGGTTAACTCGGTTAGAGCACCATGCTTACCAACACCACTGTCGGGGGTTTGGGTCCCCATAACGCCCAGCTGCATTAAAAAAAATTTTTTTTAAAGAAAATAAATTTTAAAAATAAAGCCAGGGAAGAAAGAAAAGCCCAACGTGAGGCGCCAAATCCATCTAGAGCTTAGAAGCCCTTCGGGTGCAGGCAGCGCTCATCCCACCACCTGCTGTAAAGTCTTTGTAAGCTCTTCTGGCGCCATCTGCTGGCCATCTCAGAAACAACCGCTTAATTTGGTTTGCGAAGGGGCTCTGAAGCGAATCCGTGGAGAGAATATTGATTCAGAAAAAAGATCACATTCTATTTACAGGCAAGTCTTGCTCCAAACTCACCTCCAAAATTCACTTTTGATTTTTCCTTGTAGTAATGATTTTAACAGGGACAGGTGTCCCTAAGCAAGTCCCTTCTGTGTAAGGCCCAGAATGGTCACCCAATAACTATGAGCCTCATGTCCTGTAAGACCCAGGAATGATTCTCCAGCTCCCCTCCCCACCGTGCTTGGGCATCAGGTAGAGGGGAAGGCAGGCTGACGAACCCACTTTCAGCCCTACCATCTGTGGACGGGGGTGGTTTCATCTTGATCTGTCTCTGCCTCCTGGGTTCCCACAGATCTATAACTCCCTGGTCCTTGGGCTAATTCAGTCCTTCAAGCATTCCCACATGGCCCCAAGCAGCCCAAAGTGCTGCAAGTCCTCTCGGTTGTCCTTCCATCCAGCATTAGTCCTGCTTTCCCACCTACCCAGTGGAAGTGTGCCCCTCACTCCCAGGGGATCCCAGCTTTGCGACACAGTGGTCCAGGGGAATGCTTGCCCTCTATCCGAGCTGACCCTTCCCACAGGGGCTGCCTGGAAAAGGCCCCTTTACTGTCTGAGGGTGGTCTTTATGTGCAGGACAGCCTGCATCCTCAGCAAGGCTTGTTTATGCCACCTCTGTTGTAGATACTGATGGAAAAGCATTTTACTTCTAATTCCAATTCTAAAAGGCACCTCTGGAGTCTTTCTAAACTTCATCAAGATCTTCATGTGGTTTTTAGTAGTAAAAAGTGATAAGAAGGTCCCTCCTTCTCAGGAGGAAGGAGTGGCCCAGAAACCCCTGATTAGTTCTGCCAGGGAGGGAAAGGCTGCCATATTAGGACAGCAGCAGGAACGCCACCTCCCCCCACAGCTGCTATATAGCCAGGCAGGCCTGGCCACCAAGGGCGAGTGCTGGAGGACCGTGCAGCCTGTGGCTCCAGAGGCACATCCCTGCAGAGAGTCCAAGGTATGAGGGGAGGCATTTCTGTGCTCAGGGTTGCTCTTCCCTAATCAGGTCTCTACCTCAGACTGGAAGCCATGCAATGACTTCTTTCCTCCCGCATTCTGGGATGGGTCCCAAGTCAGGGGGGACTTGTGAGAACGTTCAGTCATCAATGGTTTTGCATTTCTGTGTATTGCTGCTACAATAAAATGCTACTTTAAGGTTAGCTATTTGGGATTTTGTTGGCTTTGAAGCCCTTGCCTGAGAGGACTAGTTTCTTTCTCAAGAACTCTGGTTTTATTTTTCTTAATTTGATTCACCTGTAATGATCTATTATGTTATTATTCTTATTTAAGATTTCTCCTACCAAGATGAACAGGCTGATGACATGGGGTATGGCCCCCTATTTAGGAGACTAATGTTTGCTTCATGCTTGGATCTCTTTGGAGAAAGCCAGTCTGAGTTCACTGTGATCAGGGGCAGCATGTGGGGGGCTGGGGGCCTGGGTGCTCATGTCAACCCTAGGGCAGAGGCTAGACAATGCCCACAAGCAAGGAAGGTCAGTGAGGCTCTTTGCAGGCTTGCACAGGTGCCTGGATATGCTCTTAGGCTGTGTCTTCCCCCCGCCCCACACATTTTTTTTTTGGCAGCTGGCTGGTATGGGAATCCAAATCCTTGACCTTGGTGTTGTAATACCGCGCTCCAACCAACTATTCTAACCAGCCAGCCTGCCTCTTTTTTTTTTTTTTTTTTTTTTTTTTTTTTTT